TTTTAATATATATTTATTATATATTTATTATATATATATTTATTAATAAAACCAAATGATTTATTGTAAATAATACGATATTTAACTTTAGAATTATGAAAAAAGTGATTGAAAAATCATTATTTTGATTATTTTTTTTTTATAATTAACTTTTAATTCATCATTTAATTAAAAAAAAACCTTATAATTATATAGTAATTATATAGTAGCATTGTTTATAGCTTATATATGAAAAAAAATTATATATTAATATATATAATTATATATATTAAATTATTATTTATATAAAACATTGATTTAGATAATTGTTAATAATTTTGAATTAATTTTGAATAATTATATAATTATATATTATATTTATTATAATGCAATATAATATTTGTATCTTAAAAAGAAATCTAGATTAATTTCATTCACATTTAGTGTTTCATTTGCATATTAGACAAATCATTATATAAATAAATATAAAAATTAAGTATTTTTATATATGTTTTTAAACCAAGAAACACTAAATTGTTTTCTATTGAACGAGAATGCACTTTAATTCTTCACGAAGTGATAGCACTTTATTAGTACAAGGTTACATTCCTATGTGTGATTAATCCTTGCGAAAACTATTGCTCAAGATTCGAATGTATTGGAATGAAATAGGATATAAAAAGAAGAAGATATAAAAATATAATGCTAATTCCTTTTTTGCAATATTTTTCTTACATTTGTTAAAACCAAACTACAAAGTTATTCAATGAATTTTTATTTGTTTTTAAAAAAATACGTACACTCCTTCGACGACTACAGCCACTCCTGCTGGTTGCACTGCTTTTGTTACCGCCACTGCAATTTGTTTAGTAAGACGTTCTTGCACTTGAAGACGTCTGCTGAAGATCTCTACAATCCTATTGGATATAAAATAAAAAATAAAAATCGAACGATATAGAAAAATTTGATTGATTAATTTGAATATATAAAAATTATTCATTGTTCACAAAGTTAATAACAAATGTTAAGTTTATAATATTTGACTTAAATAAATGGTCACTTGTGCATTCGTCGATTGAGTGAGCAATGTGTGAAAGTGGACGGCATGCCAACACTTGTCGTTATTTTTTTTTTTTTTGCTTAAATTATTTCTTTAATCAAATGCGTAACTATTATCGATGCAATTTAATAATCTCTTTGTGAAATATATTATTGGGATTCATCATTAATTTATCTTAATGAATTTTTATTTTACTTTATGATTACATAAATAATCAAATTGATGATGAAACAATCTATATTCGATAACAATTTTAATTATCATATATATATTGATGCAAGTTGCATCAATTCTTATTCAATTAATTCATAAAAATTTATTCATTAATTATATATAATATAATAATTCTATCATTTTTTTTTTGTGAATTTGATCATGTTGCAATCATAATCATTTAATCTTCGAAAACACGCGTAAATAAATTTATATATTTTCGAGGTGTACTTTTGTTTTTGAAAATACAAAATAAAACAATGCGCAATAATAACAGTTAATCAATGCAATTTATAAAAAAAAATAATAAAAGTTGCTCGTTAATAAATAATAATTTTCAATTAATTTTTATTTTCGCGAAAAAATATTAATTATTTTATTTTAATTTAATTATTCAATTCAATAGAAGAAGAATCATTCAAGTGTACGAATGTTAATTAAAACAATTTCTTATTACCTGGCTAATTTACTGAGACCAAGGATCTTCTTACAAGGGAGATAACCGATCGACACCTTGCCATAGAAAGGTACTAAATGATGTTCACACATGGAGAACATCTCGATGTCCTTCACTACAACCATCTCATCGTGATCTTCATCGAAAACTGCATCATTTATAATGTCTGGAAAAGGAAGTTAAAAAAAAATTCGCGTATAAATAAGGAAGCAAGAAATCGTAATATTATTTCAAAAAAATTTCCTATACATACACGGAAGTTACGATCTATCAAGATCACGCGATTATTGCACAATTCAATTGCAATGCAAAAGCAATCAACCTTGTACAAAGATGAAAAAACGATCGTCGTTTAAATTGTTCTGCGAAGGAAGAACATCTTGCACGTGGGTTAAGGTCCTCACGATCCTAGCTGTGATTTACTCGATATTGACCTACTTACTATCGTCTAGGCTAGTGGTGGTGTATAGGTATGAGTCGGTGGATAGTAGGTGTTGGTGGGTAGGTAATGGAGGGTGCTCTCCACGGTTTCCACGGCAACCTTAACAAGAAACACCTTCACAATGACCGACAATGATGAAACCAATTCGCATTCTAGTTAACCAAAATGTATTTTTTATGTTATATATTTTCCTACACACAATACAATTTTTGCTATCGATCGTAGCAAGAATGATTGTTCGCATTTTTTTCTTTTTGGCTAAAGGTATGAATTTCAAAAAATTTACGGGATTTTAAGGGAAGTTTGCTTTTATGTGCATGTCTATCTCTATATTAGACTAAACATGAGTTTAATTTCCTCTCTTCTATACGTACTGCCTTTGAAGCAGACGTTAAAAGCGTGTAGTTTAATTTTTCGATTCAATGATCTAATACGATCATCGTTCGATTGGAATTCGACGGAATTTCTTTTTATTATCGACAAACCTTAATATCTATGTAGTTTTTTTTTTTATTAATATATATCTCTATTTATCTCTATTTATGAAAATAAAAAAAATCAATGAAAAAAAAGATAGAAAAAAAAATATAATCACAAGCATATGGTATAGAAAGTGAGACGAGGAAGTGATATCGATTTTGCATTCATCGAATAATAAAATATACATTTGTATATAATATTTTTGCCTAGTATAAAGTAATATATTAGCCATAATAATTATGAATATTAACTCTAATAATAGGATTTTAATGTTCGTGACTTTCACTCTATAATCTTGTTCAAAGTAATTTCCTCCATTGATTTTGGAATTTTCACTAAAGAAAATGTATATTATATGTATATAAATATACATAAATGTACGTACATATAATATTCATTTACAGTTCTAACGGAAATTCGGTCAAGCTTATCGATGAGAAAGACAAAGAGAAATTGTCCGAGGGGAACGGTTCCGTGAGAGCTGTGGAAGGTAGTTACAAAAGGGGTGTGGGTTGAGCTTTCGTAGGAAAGTGGCCGGGACTCGTTTCAGATTCACTGGGGCGAGCAGAACTACCGTTAACGGAGCTTATCTTGAGAGCAATTTCACTTTAGAAGAAAGAAGGGTTAAATCGAAGCGAATTAAAGTCTTTCCACCACCTGTAGCTATTGTTTCACCTATATTAAAATCGTATAAAATCATACTAGTATTTATTGCTAGCTATTTAATTTTCAATTGGTAGCGTTGAACCATAGTTATACCATAACTCTCAATACTATATAAATTAAGTGAGTTATTGTCAGAATAAATCACTTATTTTAATTTCTGTTCTGTGCTTTACGTAATATAATAAACGATACATTAATCATGTAAAAATATATATATATAAAAATATGAATAAAAATTAAATGGTTAAGATTATAGTTAAATGATCCAAGTTAAATTTAATCTAATATAAATATAATTATCGCAATTACATTTGACCCAATGATACTATCAGTTGAGAATATAAATAAAAGAAAAGAAAATAGCAAATGTTTATTAAATAAGTTCCTGGAATGATTAATTGTTTAACAAATAAAATTATAAAGTGCATAAATTGTAAATTAAATATTTTTTTACGTATTGAAAACGTATTTAGAAAACAAAAGATGGTATAATGTAAAATCGCTAATAATGACATTGATTCTATTTTATTTTAACTGTTCGTAAAATCATAATTACCGGAGAACAGTAACAGTCTACTTGACATAAGATAAATGGAAGGAAAAGGCATTCTTTTCGAATTCGCTGTGCGTCCCTGTGAGACCCATTTATATTATGAGCTTTACGCTCTCTTTTTTCGAATCATAGATACTTAAGTCTTCCTCTCTTTTCCCCTGTGACGGATCTCGAGCAACTTGAAGGAGAGAAAGAAAGAAATGGGCGGGTACTTTTCTCGAGTGGGTATATTCATGGTTTTATTTGTTCCATTGACTTTATAATCTAAGAAAATCCTGATCAAATGTTCGTACTATCTTTAATTGAATAAAACATTTAATTTTCTTTGATTGAAAAAGTAAGCCTTCTTTACTCTAATTCACATATGTATGAGAACATCGTTATTTTTTTCATTTCAATTGAATGAATACTTAATTTATTTTATTTTATTTGTTTATAATTTTTTTTATTTTATTACTTGAGAGAAAGAGAAAAAGATATTATTGAAAAAAATAAACTTACCATCGATACATTGATCATAACCCTTCGTGAAAAACAGCATAGCTTTCGCGGCACGTTCCGGAGTTTTCAAAAGACCTGGTCGATTCGGGTCCTCGCCAAGCGAGCTCAAAAGTAACTTGTAACTTCGTGACATTTCCGGAAGAAGCGCTTCGCGCGTGGGTGGCCTGTGATCTAGCTCCAAATCGTGGTGAAACGTGCATTTTTCGTGACCTAGAAAAAGACAAATTAAAGATTTTCTAATAATTTTATCGATTCTTGAATATTCGCTACATTCACTAATAAAAAATTTATATTTATCTTGAAAGTATGAAAAAATATTGAACGGAAATAGCATCATTGCTCAAACGTTGTTCCTGATGCTTATGCAATCTGCTTCGATTTTTCAATTGAACTAAGACAAAAAATATGTACAAACATCGTTATTATCACCGCCAATGACCACGATAACCCTATGAAAAGATTTATAATGCAAGTTTACGACACTTTGCGTGTGGTAAAAAAAAAAGATAATGTGTATTTTCTTTATCTATGGCAAAAAGTTCTAAGATTTTATTTTTACAATCAGATTTTATATTAGCTATTTATATACAAACACTTATATCTATCGATAGAGATATATTTTTTCTTTTTTAATAACTGTGATTTTTTTTATAAAAAAATATATGTATATACAAAGAACTTGAAATTTCGATAAACAAAATAGAATCATAAATTACTACGAGCTTTTATTAAAACTGGATATCTAACAATGAAGTTTTAATTGGAAACTAAAGCGAATCAGGGAAAAACTTAACAATGAAACGTAATTCGAAATAAATTTTAAACTAATTATAAATTTTTTTTGCACCAGTTCCTTTTTTTCTTTCTTACTTCAAGGAGTACGAACGATCGCGTATTCATAAGCGTCTATCGTTTCACGATTAACATAATGCTTTAATTAACAATCACTGATATCGATCGATCGATCATTTGGCGAAATCTCGATTCGAACGATGTATGCATGTAATATTCCAAAGTGATATGATTCGATGATGAAGTTTGCCGTTGATGATCGGCTACGTATGCACGCGTTGCCGAACTTGTTGCATAACGATTAACGACGACGTTACAGCGATGAGAAGGCGAGATTTCTATCGATAGAAATAATTTATCACTTGTATAACACTCCATTTGCGAGCAATCTAGAACGTATTAAAGCGAAACTGCTCTCGGTACTTCTCTCTTGTATAGATTTATTCTCCGAGGATAGAATCTAACGCTGGAACTGACGTATTCACGATGGAAAACTAAGTTAAACCATCCTCTTCCTAATGAACGGCATCGTGTAATTCAATCGAGCAACGACACTGCTCTGATAGCATGAATAAATCGAGGTTTTCCACGGTCAATATGCACACATTGTTCGACATTGCTGAAAAGAATTAATCAGATTGAACTGTATGGATCGTTTCGAATCTGTTCGTTATCGTGAAAATTAAATTTTTTACTTAACTGTGAAACTATATTTCGTTAAACGAATGTTGAAACGGATAGATGAATCTTGTATTTTTGAATATATTAAATATGTTAATGGATGGACATTTTGAAGAAGATAAAATTTTTTGCAACGATGAAACCTATCTTGACAAAGTAAATAAATAACGAAATAATAATAATAAAATAATAATAAAATTGAAAGATTTTCGATATTCGTTTCATCGATGAATCAATGAATAATTTCGACGAAAACATAATATGAGTAGCGACAAATACGGATATACGAGATTTTTCGAAAAATGAAAGGTGTTCTCTATTACTTCAGAAAGTCAGAGGAGATCATACATTCATAAGGTCACAGCTACGCGTTACATACAATCATAACTGTACTCCAACAGTTCCCAAGGTCTTTTATCATTTTTAAGATCTGCAGGTTACGATTGACCTGGAAACGAGAAGTATGACGTGAGTATTCTCCAAATATTTTTCACGATTTTATAAATGATAGCAATAGAATAAAATTAAATGTCGATTATATGAATTGAACGACGATAAATAAGAGCGATAAATAAAGAAGATGAGAGATTTAATAACGAGAGACCTATAAAGAACTTTTAATCAGTAATAATTCATAATCTGTGATATAAATATGAATAATATATGAGATTTATCTCTATTTTTCTTTTTTTTTTTACAGAAACTGCAACAGGTTGCAAATTGAAACAAGTTACGTGCCACTTGTTATATTTATGCAATCGATTAAATGCGGAATTAACGACGAAAATCGCTTTGAAAAAATTGAAAATTTTTTCTTGAATGTAGATAAAATACATCGAAAATTTAACTTATATATATAGAGAATTTATAAATTGCAGATAATAACTTAAGTTATTATTGTAAAGAATTTAGATACCATGAATAAATCGAGATTTTAAAAAAAGGAATAATTAAGTATCTGCCACTGTTATCTTATTCATCGCGATTATCAATTACAAAATAAATCGGAGAATAATTTTAATAATAGGAGAATAAAAAATATTCTTTAATTGCTCCATTATGAGTCTATTCCACTAAATAAGAATTCAATAATAGATTTTAATAATGCAGTAATAATAGTTTCTAATAACAATTTATATTACCTACCTATTTCTAATAATCCATTAGATTTACCCGTCATTAAAAGTCTTGAAAATTACTTTGTGGTCTAGAAAATATTACGTAGGCAAAATGCCCAATGATTAAGACTTTTCTCGGAAACGATACCTGGCGTTGTAGAAGTTCGCGGAGTTCTGGGAGTTCCTGGCACATCCAAATTACTTTCCTCAACGTTCTCTGACCAGGAAACGGTCCTCAATGGTCCCGGTTTTTTTATCATTGTGTGCTTGTCTTCGTCATCATATATATTTAGATCCTTAATTTTAGTACATTGGCTGGAAATTCCGTTCATGATTGGGGCTTTTTAACCTTGTTTGCCACTTAAATTATAGCAAACGATCCCTTTTAAATTTGAGAGATGATCGGTCGATGAGGAACACAGACGGTCTATCAAAATTGATTCAAGGTATTTTGAACGAATAGTATAATAATTAAAAAATAATATTAATAAAAAAGAAAGAATCGAAGTTAAACACGCCGAATTTAAAATTATAATATTATCGAATTATTTATTAATATCACTGGAATACTTACTTATATTGTAATAAATAAAAATACAGTGAATTTCTATGCTACTTCGATGTCGAGATGATAGTTGTATTTTACGTCGAAAATTGTTTCATTAAATGTGTATTCACAATTGATATCACAAATGATAATAAAATAATTTCTCCATTTTTTATCAATAAATTTGTCAATAAAAAAAATTGTATTATTTAACAAGAGAATTTTTTTTAAAAAAAGAATTGTAATCATATTACAAATAACGCGCGATTTTCAGTTTGATCTCAATAGTTCTACCACGTGATTCACGAATAATACGCGTGTGTATAGCAACTTTTAGTGAATCGCGTTCAATTTCAATCAAACCAATGAAACTTACTCGCAGACGGATTCAGTTCACGTGCACCTCGGAGCTTTTTGGAGCTTGAAGTATCAATGCAGTAAAGCTGGAATGTCGTTGAAAAATTTCTTTTTAGTTATTAATTTTATTTGTCCTTTTGCTTTCCAAAGATTAAATGTTTATATTCGCAACCGTAATAAAATTATTTTTTAGATAAAAAAAAAACAAGGAAAAATAAAGAGACGACAGGTATTTATTCGAGACACGAGAGAAGAGAAATTAAATAAAAAGGATAGTGATCAACGAGTCCAAAAGGAAAGAAATGAGCACGAAGTCGCTCGATCAAGTAACGCAGTGTGACTGAACCGACAGAACCGTAGAGAGTGCGATTGTCCCCTATGTATGTATAGTTCTTCCCTCTCTCTCTTTCTCTCTCTCCCTCTCTTCCTCTTTGTTTCGCTCTAATCATATGATTTTCAATGATTTTTTTCTTCTTGTTCTTTTAAATTCTGTCTTTTTTATTTAGATGTATATTATGTTGTGATATCACATTTGATTTCTTCAAAAAGCAAGTTTACGCAATTAACAAGTTAAAACTCGCATCGCGTTCAATATATATAAAAAGAATGCAAAAATGCACATAATGCTGATACTGATTATACGTAAGAATGAGAATATTGATAATAACATAAGAATAAGAATATCTCCTTGCAAAATGAGATCCTCCCGCTCTAGCGTATGAGAGGGAAATAGTGAACTTTATCCAGAGTCCGCATTGCAAATTATAGTCTCAAGTGACAAGTAGCGCCTCGATTGGCGGAAATTGTCAAAATGTTTGTAGTATGCGAGATCCGCACAGTAGATAATTATACTTTTTATTAAAAATTATGATATTTTATGATTTTTTTTTAATTATAATAAAATAAAAAATATAATGATTTGAAATACAATTTTTATTTTATAATAATTATCAATTGTTAAATAAAAAAATTTTAAATATATAAAAAATTAAAGCTAAAATTTTTTTGTCAATCAAGTAGCATTTGCATATCATAAACAATTAGAAATAATATAATATCGCGGATTCAGAATAACGGATTGTTTATGGGGAAAAATTATTTTAGTATAGGAAAGCACAGAAAATTCATCCTCTATAAGTTTTTAGAATGCGAGTCAGAATCTACGTCATCCTGATTTCTAAGAGACCGGTTTCCCACACTTATCACCTTTTCCTTCTATTTGCAGCATTTCTTAAGATTGTGCATAGATGTTTCCTAGTAGTTCATCCTACGCGTATGTTAAAACCTCAATTTCATAAAAGTATTCAAGATTTCAATTTTTATAAACTATGTTTTTCTATTATAAATAAGTTAAAAAAATATAAGATACGAAGAAATTATCATTAATTTTTCTTCTAAAATATTGTAAAAATATTGAGTTATTGTAAAAATACGTGTGCTATGATACGTATACATTATATATGTGCATATTTTTAAAATGAATATATTTTTAAAATCTTGAAAGCAATTCTAATATGATTTCAGTATTCTTATATTATTATTAGTAGTAATTAAGAATATTGATGACAAAAACCATAACAATGATATACAATTAACTATTCTCAGTTTCAGTAATTAAATTTTATTATTGATGAGGTTATCATGATATTCGGGCCAAACTATTAAACTACAATGATTAAAATTAATATAACTATGGCTATGGTACTTTGTGATAATACATCAAAGTCATTTATGTATAATAATAATTTACTAATTAAAAAGAATAATGCATCCAAATTGCTTATTATTAAATTGTATCTTTTTTATATTATTTTGCTTAAATATACTTAGAAAAAGTTTAAGCATAAATTTATATCTTATCCATACAACCTATAAAAAAGAATAATGCATTTGTTTACATTATTTCCTGTAATATAATAGTATATCTCGAGCTACATAAAAGCGCGCAAAACTATGATTCTCGCCCGTATTCATAGTTGCACTACTGAAACTTGTCTGAGTTCAACTGACCTTCACTACTTGCAATCAATACAAAACTACTATTGTAATCTTGTGAGATACATATTTGGTTTTTGATCTCATTAAATGCATATTATCTCCATGATATAAAATTTAATAAAATAATATAAAATTCAAGAAAAAAATATTCTTGATGATTAATTTCATAGATTTTATTAATGTTAGACTAATGATTTAACGAATGCTAAATTTTTTTATATTAATAATTACGTTGAAAAGGAAAAAACTAAAGGAAAGATGACGTGTAAAAAACTAAACCGTATCGGTAAAGAATTCGAGGTCATACTCATGTAAAAAACAATAAGAAATTAATACTAAAGCAATCTGGGATGAATGACATAAAAATGAATCTATTCCATTATTTGAAACGTGTAATTGTAAAAACAAAAATTCTTTGGCAAAAAAAAATTATCAATATCATAATATTTCTATATGTAATAATAAGAATTAACAATTAATAATGGAACTCTCTCTTTTGATAATTATTACTACATAAAAAATTCTTTTTATAAAATATAATTCTTCAAATTTAATATTTGAGATAATAATAGAAATAAATAATGAATATTAATGTATATATATTTCATAATATCGTAAAATATAATAAGAAATTCTATATTCAACTTTTCTGTTCTATATCGTATATTCCTAATATCATGCTTTATCCTAATACAGATATTTGATATTATTATTTTTATTATTTGACACTATAGATATTCAATATCATTTCTAATACTATTTTGTTGTTATTTAATATGATTGACATACATATAAATCTACTGTAATATGACATCGGGCCGTTTGAAAAGAAATGCAATGGATACAAGAAGATACAATTCCATATTATTACATACACAAAAAAAATAATCATATGTTAATTAAAAGCATAATAATAATAAAATTAAAAATTCATTATAAATTCTATTTAAAATATTTGGTTTTATTAAACATTTTATAAATTTTTTATAATCATTATTTAGTTTGTATTTTATTTATTAGATCATTTTTAATTTCATATTTTATTATTAGATTATCTAATAAAAGAATAAAATTTTGAACTCTTTAAAAATCAATAAATTATAAATAAAGAATTTTATGAATTGAATAAAAACATAAAAATTATGGCATTAAGAAAAAACTTACTTTTTTTTGATGTGTAATCCATTTTATTTTTAGAATGATCTTTGATATGTTCTGTTTTATATGAAAGTTTAAAAAAGGAGACGATAGTTATGATTGTAGTATATCGTTCACTAACGATATTCTTTCGAGCAACAGATTTATATATCTACTGAGAATGAAAAAACCTTTGTCAAGTTAAATCCCCTTCCCTCTTCTGTCAATTTAACATTTCTAATAGCAAGAAATACGTTTATTTATTTATAATATCATTTCAAAACTTATAGTAAATGAAGTTATAATGAAAATATTTTAATTAAAATATAAAAATAAATAGTTAATCTTTTTTAAAATTAAATATAAAATGAATAAATAATATTAGTAATAAATAAAATAAAGAAAATAACATAATAAAATGATTAAAAAATATTATTTTGTATATTAATATATTAGTAAGTTTTATTATTATATAATATATACAGATAGAAAATTTAATTAGTTTTTTTAATATATAAAAATCAAAGTATATTTGATTATTTCTTTGAATTTTATAGAAAATCAAAATTATAAAAACTATTCAAATAATTTTATGGAAAATTAAATCTAATTAAATCTTGAATAATGTTAGAAAAATAAATATTTAATAGTTTAATTATATAATTACATTGAATATAATTTTATCAATTGCATTGAAATGTTATTTCTACTTAAAAATAAAATGATTCATATGATATAATTATTATAGATATTATAGATATATTATAGATTGTTATAGATAATATTATAAATAATAGTTGTTTAAACATAATTATTTTTATTTTATGATTCAATAATTTATATTTATGATATATATGTTTTTAATAAAAAGCAATTTTATTGAAAATAACATTTCCATTAACTCATTTATTATACAAATTTATATATATATTATATATATATTAATAGAACACACATATGTATATTATATTCTCAATGATTAATATGAATACATATTTTATTTAATGTAATTGTATAATTACACATTTTTGAAAATGTAAACGGATTAAATATTTCACATAAATTTTATTATTAAGAATAATAAGCAATAATATTATATATATTATATTATAATATTTATAAAAAATTATGTATAAATTAGTTTTAATAGCTAATAAATATAATTAAAAAAAAATGCATTTTTATCATAGATATATTCTGCGTTTTTTTTTCAAGCTAAATCTCTTTCTGTTAATTTCTAATAGTAGAAATATGCGTTCTTTTCGAAATATATATATATTCATATATTTCAAGTATATATAAGATAAATTTGAAGTAATTTCTTTATAAATTTAAGCTTATTTTTATCATTTAATTTTTTAAATTATTTAAAAAAAATTTCAATTGTTTGAAAATTGTTTTAAATGTAATTATAAAGATAAAAATATTCTTATAAAAAATATTTTTATAAAAAAATTTCTTGATATTAATTAAATGTAAAAATGGAAATATTAATATCAAATTTAAATATAATTATAAAACAAAAATAGAAATATAATGTTTCGATATTATACTTTTGTTTTTATCATACTATAACAAAGTTGTACCTGTAAATGCATCAAATATTTTATTTTTCAATAGAAGAAATAACCTCGAATTTTATGTCCTTTTTAATTAATTCTTCAATTAATGATGTTTTACCAAAAGCAGCACCAGGGGGTAAAACTCCTCCACTAAAATTTTAAATAATATAATTAAAATTTTATTAGAAAAAAATATTATACATAAAAAAAAATACATATATTCAAATTAAATATAAAACATACATTACAGGTATTTTATCCGATTCTTTGAGAATTATTATAGCAGAAAGCAATAACATAGTACATGTAGCACCATATCCAGGATTAATTCCACTGATTTTGGTAATTAGTACCTTATTTGGTGGATCTTTATGCTTATCAGTAGGTTCAACTAATTTTTCAGTCCATCCTTCCGCCTTAAATGTTAAGGAGAACTTAATTTTATCAAGTTCTTCTGGTTTAGCCATTTCATAACCTACATATCCACCAGAGAAAAATGTAGGATACTAAACAAAATTTAAAAAATTTTATAGAATTATATTTTTTGTTAAAATATCAAAATAATATATGAAATATTTTATGTTAAAAAAAAATAATATACCTTCAATAACAAATTACGACCAAATTCATATTTAGATAACATTAAAAATATGAAACCAAAAATAGCAGTTGTTAATACTGCAAAAAGAGAACTGGAAAAAAAAATTATTTAATACAAAATTTTAAATGTAATTCATATTATTTATTTTAATAAATTGATTACTTAAGTGTGAAATAAGTTTGAACTTGCACTGGTCGTTGTTTATATTTTTCATATAAAAATCGTTGGGTACGCAAAGCTACAGAACGATCAGCTCCTGGAAATATCATAGACCATCCTTCTGATAAAGAAGATTTATGAATGATACCCCTAAAATGATTAATAATATTAAAAATTATATTAAATGTTAAATAAATATAATAATTAATAATATAATTAACCTTGCTTTAAGCCTTGGCCATAATTCAGGTAACTTTTCAGGATAAAGTTTAGTGCGCAATTCGCGTAATTCATGAGAATGTGCTATACCATAAATAGCTGATTCATATGTTCCATAATTTATGGAAGCACCACTTATTTTTGAAGTTGACCATGAATTTAAATAAGTTTCAATAGAATTGACTTCACCATCAAATTTTTGTTGTGTAAAAATTATACCAAGATCACATGGTATACTATCAAACCCACATGCACTTATAATATAGATACCAGCTTCTTCTGCAGCTTTATTATATTTTAATTGAATATATTCTATATACTACAATAAAAAAAATAGATATACATAAAGATATATAGAAATGAATAACAAATTAAATTAATTTGAACATTAACATCAATAAGTTTGAAATAATTCATAAATTACCTGGGGTTCTCCACTGACATCAATTTGATGAGTATGTGTGGCAATACATGCTTTAATAATAGGTTCTCCATAAAATCTATATGGGCCGCAACAATTAATAAGAACTTTTGCTTGTGATGTCATTTTTTTTAATGATTCTTCATCTTTTAAATCAGCAATAAATATAGGCACATCATCTGAAAAAAATTAATCACATAATTTTTAAATATATAATTTTAATAATGATAAAAATTAATAAATTTTAAAATTATAATTAGTTAAAATTTAATTTTACCAATATTAGAAGCAAATTCTTTAACAATTGCTTCCAAAGCTTGCTTTCTACGTCCAGATATACCAAATTTCATTTGTTTTTCTATAGCTAATTGTACTGCTATTTTTACAGCATATTTTCCTGTAAATCCAGTAGCTCCAAATATTACAAAATCTAATCGTTGATCTGTCATGATTATATCTATGAAATAATAAAAAATATATAATTAATTTTGTTACTTTTTATTATAAATAATTTTTTAAAGTTGTAAATTTCAAGTATTTGATTTTATAAAAATAAAATAAGATACAAAAATAAGATTTTATAAATATAAAATTTAAAAACAATGTAATATTTATGTAAATTTATTATAATAAATTCTAATAATGCATATATTGATATATATTAAATATTAAATATTTTATGTATAATTTAATATAAAATTTAAAAAATTATAATAACTCTTAAAACAAAATTTATTTTTTTAAGTAAATATAAAAAAATATTAATTAAAAAGATATATTTTTTATAATATGCGTTTCGAATATTGCTATAGCTTAAATGTCATTTCGCCGGTCGACAGTTTGACATAATTATAATTTTCAAGAAGTTTCCATATTTTTATGCAATTAATAATTTTTAAATTTTGTTCACAAAATACATACCTTTTGAAAAATGATAAACGAGATATTTATATGTTTGTTCTTTTGCTAAATTTAATAAAATCACACTCCTTTTTAATTGCGTCTTTCTATCGTATGTTAATATATGGAATCGAATTGCATTTATATAGAATCGAAAGGGAGGGGATTTTATTACGTAATATGTTTTCTATAATTATTTTTATATTTTTTATACATAAAATACAAATTTTAACTATAAAAAATATTTTCTATAATTAGAAATATATTTTATTATAAGAATATTTACTTTATATATATATATATATATACTGTTGTATCCATTATGTTTAATTGAATATATATATATATGAATTACATTATATATTAAATATTATGCAAAACTAGAAGGAAGACTCAAAAACAATACGAATATGAT